GGGTCCCCCGCGTCCCCCGGGCACCTCCAGCCCTGCCGGGGCCGGTAAGGAGAAACAGGAGAGTTTTTATTAATATTACTTAAAGAGGGGTGGGAAGCGGGTTGTTTGAGCACAACGGGAACTGCGTGGGGCGCACGGCTGCGGGTGGCCCCGTAACGYGGTGCCCGCCGCAGCCACGCCGCGGAAGCAGCGCCGGGAGCGCACGACCTTCACGCGCTCGCAGCTGGACGTGCTCGAGGCGCTCTTCGCCAAGACCCGCTACCCCGACATCTTCATGCGCGAGGAGGTGGCCCTCAAGATCAACCTGCCCGAGTCGCGCGTCCAGGTACCCGCGGGGACAGGGGGTGGCGGCGCCGCGGGGGCCGCGGGGCGCCCCGGCGCTCACGGCCGCCCCCTCTGCCCCCGGCRCCAGGTCTGGTTCAAGAACCGCCGGGCCAAGTGCCGGCAGCAGCAGCAGAGCGGCGGCGCCGCCAAGAGCCGCCCGGCCAAGAAGAAGTCGTCGCCGGCGCGCGAGAGCTCGGGCTCCGAGAGCAGCGGGCAGTTCACGCCGCCGGCCGCCTCCAGCTCGGCCTCCTCCTCCTCGTCCAGCTCCAACTCGTCGGGCCCCGGCGCGGCGCTGGGCACCCCGGCGGGCTCGACGGCCGCCGCCGCCTCGCTCAGCACCCCGGCCTCGTCCATCTGGAGCCCGGCCTCCATCTCGCCGGGCTCGGCGCCCTCGGCCGTGACGGTGCCCGAGCCGCTGCCGCCCGGCGGCGCCTCCTGCATGCAGCGCTCGGTGGCCGGCGCCTCCTCGGCCACCTACCCCGTCTCCTACGGCCAAGGCGGCGGCTACGGGCAGGGCTACCCGGCGCCTCCGTCCTCCTCCTACTTCGGCGGCGTGGATTGCGGCTCCTACCTGGCGCCCATGCACTCCCACCACCACCCGCACCAGCTGAGCCCCATGGGGCCCTCCTCCATGTCGGGCCACCACCACCATCACCACCACCACCCGCTGAGCCAGAGCTCGGGCCACCACCACCACCACCACCACCACCAGGGCTACGGCGGCGCCGGCCTCCCCTTCAACTCCTCCGACTGCCTGGACTACAAGGAACCGGCCGCCGCCGCCTCCTGGAAACTCAACTTCAACTCCCCCGACTGCCTCGACTACAAGGACCAGGCGTCCTGGCGCTTCCAGGTCTTGTGAGGGGCTGGTCCCCGCCGTGCGGCCCCGCTCCYGCCCCGCTCGCTCCCCTCCTCTTCGTCACCCGCGACGGCTCCTAGCGCCGCGCCGGCCCTCGCCCTGGTGCCGCCGCGCCGGGATCCTGCCCGTCCTTCTCCACTGATATTTATTTGCTGCCCCGTGCCCCAGGATTGTCCCGCCGGTGGCGTTGTTATAATTATTATTTTTTTAAACGGAACAGAAGAGGACTTGAACGRAAAAAAGGCAACAGGAGAAACGGAGGAGTTGGGGAGAGGTGCGCGCCGGCCCCGCTCCCCCGGGACGCCCCGTCTCCTCGCCGGACTGCGTAGCCTCCCGCTGCTGGAAGCGGCGGGAACTCTGTAAATACTCGGTCCGTTCCAGGGACCACTCTTATTTTTAGTTGATGCTGTCGGGTTGACATTTATCTMGAGTCTAACAAGCAAGAAATGGAACTTTTAAAGGAGGAAAAAAAATCTTTTTATTTTTATTTTCTGCCCTCTCCTTGGAGGTGCCGCGGGAGGAGGGAGGGTCCCGCTGGGGCGGCCTCCGTCCCGTGCGGGCCCGGTGGGAGCTCAGCCCCATGGTGGCCRCGCATCCCGTCCCTTCCCGACCCATCCCGGTGCCGGGAGCGGGACCAGCCCGGCCCCGGGCGCAGGGCAGGCCGGTGCAGCTGATGCTGCAACCACTTTGCAAACCCCCGGAAAGGAACTTTTAGGAGAGAGATGGGGGGGAAAAAACTTAAATAAAAGATGAAAGGAAAACAAAAGCAGAGAAAAGTTTTGTTCTGTTGAGGGGAGGCGGCGGGCGCAGCAGGGTTGTGGTGTTTCCCTGCAGTTTGGGGGGGAGGTTGAGGGGGGCTCAGGGGGCTGCCCCCCTGCCAGGGCAGGGTGAGCAGCGACTCGGAGGCCGGGACCCCCCAGCTGTAAGGGCCCCCCCTCCCCAATAAAATCCGGTGTCCCCCAGGCGCTCGTGTCCTGTCCTCCTTCCTGCTCCCCGGGAACGCTCTGTGCGGGATGGGGCTGCTGCGCCGGGGGGCTGTGCCGTGAGTTTGGGGGGGCTCCCCGCGCGGCCCGGGGCTGCGCTCGCCTATCGGCTGCATGGGGCGCGTGCGGCAGCGGCCGGCTCCCTGCTGCTCCCGAACTGGCTGCTCCCGGGATTTCTGCTGCTCCCGAACTGGCTGCTCCCGGGATTCCTGCTGCTCCCGGGATTCCTGCTGCTCCCAAACTGGCTGCTCCCGGGCTCCCTGCTGCTCCCAGCCTCCCTGCTCCCGGCCTCCCTGCTCCCGGCCTTCCCGCTCGCCAGCGCGGGCGGCCGCAGCCCTAACCCCGTGCACAGGAGCAGGGCCTGGGAGGCGCCTCCTCATCCCCCTTTTCCCCTCCCTGGGAAGCCCTTTTTGCTGGTGCCGGCGGCTCCCGGGCTCCATGTGGATCCCGGGGCAGTGGGAAGCTGCGAAGGGCAGGGAGCTGCGTGCGTGTCTGCACATCGGCACCCATGCGTGCGTGCATGCGGATGTGCGTTCGTGTGCACGCTGCAGGGRCCGGCTGCTGGCACGGGGCAGGGGATGTCGGTCTGGGCACCGGGGGCCCCAGCAGCGTCCGCGCTCGTTCCGGGCTCCGTTTCCCCCTTTTCTGCCGTCAGGCTGCTGCGCTGAGCGCCCAAAGCGGCACAAAACCCGGGAGCTGCCTGCGGGTCCCGTCCCGTCCCGGGGCCTCCCCTCACAAGCAGGGGAGGAAGAAAAACAAACGCCACTTGAGCGTTTATTTATTTATTGATGTATCTAACTATTCGTTTGTTTGTTTATTTCCCCACCCCTGTATTCAGTCGGAAACAGCCCGGAGGGGAACCCGGGGCTCCCTCGGCCGCAGGGAGGAGCAGCCGCCGGCCCGGCCGGTGCAGCCGCCCCCGGCCCCGGCTTGGAGGGGCCGGAGCGACCCCGGGGGGGCTTTTCCCGGGGAAAGGCGGTTGTGGAGCCGCCGCGGAGCGAGTTTGTGGCGCCGGCTCCGAGGGCATCACGGGTGCACGGGAACCCGGGCTGCCGCCGACACCGTCCCGCTCGGGCGCCGCCGGCTCCTCGGTGCATCCGAGGCCGCTCSGGGAGCCACTGTCCCGCGCAGCCGTGCGCGGATCCCTCCATCCCGGCTCTTCCCAGGGCTCAGGGAAGGACAAGGAGTGCTCCGTAGCGGGACAGCAAACCTGGGGCTGCAAACCGCGCAGTGGGATTGCAATTCCCGCTGCAAACCCTGCATTGGGACTGCAATCCTGGGGCTGCAAAGCCCGCACCGGGACTGCAATTCCGGCTGCAAACCCTGTACCGGGACTGCAATTCCGGCGGCAAACCCTGCATTGGGACTGCAATCCTGGGGCTGCAAACCCCGCAGTGGGACTGCAATTCCCGCTGCAAACCCTGCATTGGGACTGCAATCCTGGGGCTGCAAAGCCCGCACCAGGACTGCAATTCCGGCTGCAAACCCTGCACCGGGACTGCAATCCTGGGGCTGCAAACTCTGCAGCCGCCGTGTGCGGCGCGAGGAAAACGGGGATCGGGGCTGCACGAGGCAGCGCTGCGCCTTGTGCCCTTCCTCGTGCCGACCTCCACATTATCCCGGCGCTGCTAACTCCATGCACAGGGCTAGTAATTAATGCGTATAAAACCCCACATCGGTTCAAAACCTGCTCTGAATTGGTCAGTGAAATCTCCCGGTGTAGCTCCCAGACAAGGACCCCGCTGCACCGGAGATCTTTCCTTTCATGTCTTATGTTCCAGCACAAAAAGCTGCGGGGAAGGAGGAGGGTGAAAACGGTCATACGGCTGAGGATAAAGAAAAACATATGCCCATTTCCAGCTAAATCCCTTTTCAGCACTTTTCCGGGACACGCGGGACTTTTCCAAGAAAGCCATAAAAGGATTTTACGAAAACCTGAGATTTTAGGAAATGGCATTCTGGATCTTATGTACATTTCTAGTATCACTTCCTGTATATTTTTAAGCCGAAATCCTCTTAGCATGCAAAGTAAATAGATTATGATATACCGAAGGATTAAGAATCGCTGTCTGGTGTCAGATTAATCCCTCATATAGACCATCACTTGTACTGACAGAAATATGGCTGCAATTCAGCAGAGGAGCTGTACGGCCAAGCAACACGTCGCAGCGCTGCATGCACAACGAGCGGGAGATCTCCGTGCTCTGGTGTCGCAGCGTATGTATGTCAGAAATTCAATTTTAACCCATATCACAGGAAACGCACGCTCTGCTCCAAGGAAGGAGGCCCCGAGTAACCAGCCATTGCGGGCGCAGCGTCTCGCTTTGTTGCAAAGCTCCTTTTTATTCGTTTTTGTTTGTTTTTTTCCCAAAAGAAGCACACAAGCTCGCTTCACATTGGGGAACAAGAGAAAAGTCTCGTCCTGATGTGTTGCCTCAAATACACTCATTCGAATAAAGYGCAGAAATCCAGTGGGAATTTTCCCGTTGTGATCAAAATCAGCAGAAATTCAGCAGTTTTGGGCTYTTAGGGGACAACGGCTGACCAACAGCAAGCAAAAAAAAAAAAACCAAAAAAACTGGGTAAACACAGATCTTTTGGCTAAAAAATATATATTTTATTTTTTTTTTCCTTTTAACACACTGCTTTCATTTTTTTGGTGCTTTCCTTCCCACTAATTTGTCCACAGTCCGAAAGCAGCTTGAGAGAGCGGCCGGGCTTTGGGTTTAACACCCGAACGCTCCGGAAGATCCAGCCTAAGCCGCACGTGTGCACGCAGCGGAGTGCAAACCGCGACCGGACACGATGCTCCGGATCAGATGGCGGGAAGAAAGACCTGTCACAAGGGCTCCCTTCGCTTTGAACGGGAAAATAAGGAATCTGCAGCAAGGAAACGGGTTAAGTTACCTTCTCAGTGCATTTTCTCTTAGTGGTTAGGAGCGGCAGATTAAAATCTGGGCTCCAATGGGATGATGCTTAAGAGGCTCCATCTCCGTGTCTTTTTTAAAAAAAAAAAAAGGCAAAATAATGGTTATTCAACTAAGATGATACAGTGAGATAGGAAAATTGAGAGCATTCTTAGGAGAACGCTGCCGACTGCGAGAGGCTGCTCTTTCCCAGAGGTATCCGCAGCCAAGATTTTTATCGGCCGGTATCTCAAGAGACCGGCTCGCGGCGCCTCAAGTGGGAATCCAAACCTGCTGCCGAGGGGGGATCTTTAAAACATATAACGCGCGGGGGAAGGCGAGGGGTGGGCGCAAGGGGAGCCGGAGCCTTGGGCGTCGCGCTTCCCGGGCGCCCGCGACGAGCCGAGTCCCTGGATCCCGAGGTGCCGCTGGGTGCCCCAACGTGCCGGGTGTTGCGGGGGTGTCGGGGTCTCGCCGGTCACACGTGTCCCAGCTGCACCACGTGCAGGCGCCCGCGGGCACCGGCCGCCTGCGGGACAGGCACGGGGTGAGGGCCACGCGCCCACATCCCGCCACGATCCCGCGCAGCCTCCCGACCCTCCACCCGGGAAGCCGCGGGCAGAGGCCAAACGTGCTGGCTCTGCTGTTGTCCGGGCTGCTCCGAGCAGCTTTTCCCAGAGCAGCAGCTCCATCTCATGGCACGAGCCCTCCCTTCGCGCCGGGGACACGGAGGGGCCCGGGCTCCGCGGCAGCATCCCGGGGCTCTGCTCCATCAGCCCAACGCAGAGCCAACGGGCGATTTCCTGCTCGTCCTGCTTGCGCTGGGCGCTGGGGAGCGGAGCGAGCGCGGGCGGCGGGCTTTGCGTCCTCGCGCGGCAAGGCGCGACGCGGCGCCGGGCACGCTCAAGAGGATAAAGACGTCTCGTGCCTTGGACCTGCTGCTGACAGCTCCGGCTCTCCTGCCACGGAATTGCTGCAACCGGGTTTATCGCTGGGGTGCTCCAGGAGGTGGTTTTCATGCTCCAGCGAGAGGAGCATGGCCAAGGCGGTCGCACGGCAGCGAGGAGGATGGGATGGAGAATGGAGGAAAGAGGATGCCCAAGAGGGAGGACTCAATGGAGGCGCCACGGACAATTATTTTGAACATGTGGGCTCTTCCCTA